TCCAATTCCTATGCTTTTCAGTCATTTCGTAAAATACATGTTACCTTGTATGAGATTTTTAGAACACCGCGCACAAAAAATATACGATGTACACTAGAGTTTTCCTTTCAGAGGGAGAGTTAATAGTTACAATTACCCCTCCGACATCCCCCAACACGATATTATCCGAGCAATTACCCCTCGTCTAGTTATGGATAAGTTAGGACTAGGGTTAGGTTAGGGTTAGGGCTAGTTGTAGGGTTAAATGTAGATTTAGAGTTGGAGTTAGGGGTTTTGTTAGGGTTAGCTATAGGCTTGGAGTTTGGGGTTAAGATCAGGGGTCTTCAGCATCGGTGGGGGGGGGGGGGGGGGATTTGACAGGGTGGTAATGTCCTAGACCCGAAGCTGACACATATCATTATCATCAATAGAACTAGACTTGCCCAAAACATGAACAACCAAACGTTTTTGTGATAGTTGAAAAAGGAGAATGGAGCAAGATATTTTCAACTAGAGGCTTCTGAAAACACAGTTTCCAATAAAAGTTATTGACTATGGTTATAGGAAATTGACAATAGATGTTGATTGAAATTAACATTCTAATGATTTCAGGCAATTAAATCCATGTTTCAAACATTGATAATTTGTTGCCAAGATAATGATTTGGAGTCAAAAAGCCATTTATACCTATATTTGACAAGAATTTAACGCTGGCTACAATGCAAAACCAAGCTTGAATATAGGCAAATGATAGCAAGAGCTCACATTTAGGGATTACATCAAAGAGATATCACCTCAAGACCTGTTCGTAGAGGCAAGAATTTCACTTCAACCCCACCAGAAGTTGATAAATCAAAGGAAGAAAAACGCAGGAGTTATGCACAATGTGCAAAAGAAAAGATTGAGAAGAGAGCGGACATTATGTGTTATATCTGCCATGTATGTTATATAACATCACGTAACTGCTTCCAAAAGCTCCATTCATAGATGACTATACACTCATAAAGGACATAAATGTGTTCTCAATACTGATATTTTCAATTTCTAATGTACCAGAACAACTAACACGTTAGATCACTTTTAGAATTAACATATTGACATAACCTATTTTCGATAATTTTCCCTTGAGGACCGTAGGGACACATATGTCCCATGCTGTATCTCAAAAACTATTTACAATAACGGAAAACCGTTAACAATTTTGAAATCTACGTGTCGTTTTACTACTAAATGTGTGCACAGATCTTTGAAATTATGCCTGTGGTCCTGAAAGGGCTAAACTTTGATTATAAAGAATAATTAGTAAACAGTACGTTTGGTGTTTGAACAAATAGATAAAAGGTAGTACTAGTACTCTTGTTTTAGCTACCTACTGCATTGCTAATTATTATTATATTGATATAATTATTTGTTTCCAACATTAAAACAAACTAATTAAAAGTATCCCCCCCCCCAATGTGTTTTTTGTCATCTCAGGATAGTAATTGATACTAAGGGAAGTAATTCGTACTTTTTTTCAATTAGAATGTTTTGTCAAGGGTGATACATTTAATTCATTTTGTTCTTTGCACATTACGTCAATTAAAACTAAGTTGGAAACTACACTTTTTTTTTATTAGCAATATTGAATTTTTTTTATCATCAATCTAGATTTTTAGTACAAGAATTAACACTAAAAATATTACACAATGGCGATAAAAGTTTTTTTTTTTAATATATGCATGCCTCCCACAAACATGTTACATACATAGAGCCCATTTTATAGATCATTTCTTTATTCTATACTTTACTCTATCTATTATGTCTTTCAATTGATATTTGTTTTTCTTTAATGTTGTAATTAAAGTTTATCATTATATGATTAACATAAGCATTCCAAGTGTTTGCTAATAATTATTTTTAAAATGGTTTTTGTCACTACCCAGGCTTCTCCATTTGATGGCAACATCGTAGCATCAGCATCTTATGACTTTACTGTCAAGTAAGTTTTTCTATAATTAATATTATCAACTTTTCTGTAACTGTATTGTAAGTCTAGCAAGCAAGTTTGCCTTTTCCTAAGGTTGTGGGACGTTGAAAACACGCGCTGCCTCAACACAACACAACACCATACAGAGTTTACTTATGGTCTAGATTTCAATCTTCATGTTCCTGGTCAGGTAAATCTTCTCTTGTCTAGTGGTTACACTAGTTGCAGCACACAATTGTTACAACTTTTTGTTTTCTCTAGCAGTTATACTTATACTAGTTGCAGTAACCAAAATTATTTCTTGTATTGTAGATGGCAGATTGTAGTTGGGATGAAAGTGTACATGTCTTCCAGTTTTTCTGATACATCACTCCTGGTTTTCAAGTTGGAAATAAACGAAAGAAATGGCTGTAAAATTTCATGAGTTTGTTTTGTAATGTACATATACTTTATATAGGCATGAGTACAACAATCAATAGCCACTCCTCTTTACCAAACTCACAATGAAAATCCCAACTTTAAGTTACCAGTTTTTAAAAAAAATGGGTTTCTTAACTTAAACCATGGTTGGATTTCCCCCCTTTTTACTTTCTGTTAGTGTTATACAGAGTATAGAGGAAGTATTGTAATCGTGCACACAATCACATGAAAATTTTTACACCCCAGTACTTCATCATATACGGAGTATCCAGACTTATTTTAATCGGGCAAAAATAATAAAAGATTATTTATCAAAATCGCAGCGTTCTTTGTAATTCTGGCTGTGTATGTCTGTAAACACAATAACTTGAGAACCGTTACAGCTAGATTGTCAAATTTCGGGTGTTGGGAAATTGCGAGACGCGAAAAGGCGAGGCGGGAAAATGCGAGAAGATAATGCGAGACACCTGCGGAATCAAGGGTAAATAGCGAGACACCTTTTGCGGAAAAAGTTTTTTCTCATGTTTTTTCCATCTTTATTTAAATTATTTTTTTTGTTTTAAAATAAACAAGCATGAAGCCATACACTATAACACGAGTGTTGTATGTTGTTATTTTTTTATCTAGATTTTATTATATCGATAGATAGATACTATGAAGATAGGTAGATCTTCTATATCTAGATCTATTAAAAAATCCTAACATCGTTCCTGTGCTACTGTCATCGCCCGCTCTCGTTAGCGAGAGGAAAATCCCGTCTCAGTCGATATTAATTTTAAATATCTAGCCTGCTCATGTTTATACAAACGTGTGAATTTGGTATAATCTTGTCAGCAGGAGAGATATTCTGCAACATGTATTCATGGATTGTTTTACTTGCAGAAAGTGTAAAAGTATAAACAATTCTAAAAAGTGTAATTTATTTTTTATTAAGTAATTTTAATTACAAACAAAATTTACAAACAAAATCTTCTGAAACAGTCTTATCACTACTCAAACACACCTCGTCACACCATCTTTCACACATAGTACATCCAATCCAGTTCATTAGACTTCCATTTATACTGTGCTAACACAGCACAAGAATATGAACACCATGAAAAAAAAATGTGCGTCTGTAAATAATCTGAATAAAGTCCGCTATCGACAAAACAACCATTTAATAGCTAAAAGGGGTCATCCATAAATGACGTCACGCTTTTTGACGATTTTAACCCCCTCCCCTCCATCACACATTTTCACAAAAATCCAGACCCCCCCCCCCCACTAAAATGACGTCACACCTCAGCCTACAACCCCCTCAAAATTGCAGTTGAATTATTTTTTTTTAAACATCGATATTTTCTAATTTCTGTCAAAATAGAGTATTTTAATCAATTCCTATTACAATTTTTAAAAACAGTTTTCTAAAACGCGAAATAACATCTAAAAATCTTTTTCTAACATTGCTTTTTTTATAGTGTGACGTCACAACATCTAACCCACCCCCACCCTCCCCCTCATCATACATTTCTATGCAACAATACAAAATATGTTTGCAGCGGATTCGGGCACGGTGATCTTCAAAGACTGTAAATTAGGCTGTCTCGGCGTTCCATACAAAGACAGAAGTTGATCTATCGTCGGCGGTATTTCCGTCGGTTTCGAACAAGGTGGTATTTGTCACAGACTGTATTATTATGTATCTTTATTATATTGTGTTTTGCATGAATGAAGAGTACCTGGCTAGCGGAAGGACTGTCTGAGCGATCGTCATGTGTTTTTTCATGTTTTTGGGTGAGATCGCTCATGTACGTAAGGGGAGAGAATGGACCGTATAAAAGGGAGAGCAAAAGGTGAACGGGGGTTGTGTGCTAGGACTTGGGACTGGAACGATGGCAGTGAATGTAAGATGTCTCCATGACTTGGAGTCGTGATTATTATTTGTACCTATATCAGTTGATCTTCAAATATGGATGTACCACGGATTTATCTGTACATAGTGTAAATAAAGTTGTCATTTCAAGTTGCCACTGTTGCTCGGGTTCCTGTATGAAAGCTAACCCACAACAACAGAGAATACATGTTGTTACATATGGTGTCAGAAGTGGAGGCAATAAAGTGATGTTGCTACATTGTATTACTGTTACTTATGATGTCACAAGTGGTTGAAGAATTGGTGCAACATATGTCAGAAATGGAGATATTACAGTCTGTGGTCTTCCACTGTTTACCAAGTACGTCAAGTTCTTGAAAGTCATCTATCTACACTCAAGTCAGAAGGGTTGCTGTAGTCAAGTCAGACGTTTTGTTCAAGTCAAGTCATCAACGTGATAATTTTTATCACCTTATTTCGATATTGTCTCACCAATGTCGAGTAAATATCGTCTGTGTGTTTTTTCTGTTTGGATTTAGCCGATCAAGTCTTAGTGTTTCTTTTCTACTGTTTGGATTTAGCTGTTCAAGTTTTTTCTATATGGATTAGCTGTTCAAGTTTTTCTACTGTTTGGAGTTAGCAGATCAAGTTTATTTTTGTAACTGTTCCTAAACTGTTCCTAAAGATGTCTTATCTAAAACTGGACAAATTTCTACTCTGTAACAGGCTACTAGAACTATTTTGAATTTTTTCAACTTTTTGGAATCAACAAAGTGAACTAATTTTGGACGTATATATGTACTATGAACTTTTCTTGGATTACCAGATGTCTGTAATCAACTAAAACAAGCCAGAAACCAAGAAAGGGTATTGTAAATTAATTAACATTTATCTATTGTCAACTAATGAATTTATATTTTATGTCATAGAAAATATATCAAAATGTCAAATTTTGAAAAATATGCAGCACTTGTGAAGGAACTTGACATTCCGAAGGAAGACAGGTTGGCATTTATAAAAGAACTACTAAAGAAAGATGAAGAGAAAGCTGCTAAAGAGAAAGCTGAGAGAAAAGAAGAAGAGAAGGCTAGAGAAGAAAAAGCTGCTAAGGCGAAAGCTGAAGGAAAAGAAGAAGAGAAGGCTAGGAAGGAAGAAGAGAGGGCTAGGAGGTTAGAGGAAAGGAATTGGAAAATAGAAGATGATGAAAGAAAGATTGCAGCAAAAAGAGAAGAAGATGACAGAAAGCACAAGCATGAAACAGAACTGAGAAGAATAAATAGTAATATGGCCGCAACTGAACGGGCGGGTGAGCACTCAACCAGATTCCAGCTGAAATTCAGGGACTTAAGAGAAGGAGAAGAAATATTAAACTACCTCACACAATTTGAGTGCATTGCCACAACTAACAACTACAGTAGAAGCAGGTGGGCAAGTACTTTGCTGAGCAGGCTCACGGGTGAATGTTTAAACATAATTGGCACGCTTACTGATATTCAAAAAATGGACTATGACCATATTAAAAAGAAACTACTCACTTGTTATGGGAAGTCAGAGGACGAATATAGAAAAGCCTTTGTGGCGATGAAACTGGAGAGCCACCTGGACACAACGGCCACTTTATTTAAAATGAAGGAAAACTTGCTAAAATACTTTGAACTAGCGGAGATAGACACAACTGATCCAAAGGCTCTGTTAGATCAGTTTCTAATCCTCAAAATTTATGATGAAGCGGGCAAGGGCTTATTCAGCTTTCTAAAAGAAAGGAAAATAAAAACGGAAGATCAGCTTAGAATGGCGGTGGCAACGTTCAGGGATTCACACCCCCATGAGCAGTTGTCGGCAGAGGAAACCGTACTGGCACAGACAGTAGCGGGCAGATACAAACAGCTACCGAGAACACAATCGCCGACAAGAAAAAGGCGTAACAGCCTGCCTAACATTGGAAAGAGTAGACCAATAAGGATAACATGTTATCACTGTGGTAAAGAAGGTCACATGCGAGCTGAATGCTGGAGGCTGAACAATATGAATGACAGACAGCGACAAGGTCCTAATAGCAGTGGGAGGTACAAGAGCTGGGGATACCAGCACAATAGAAACAGCGGTGACTATACTAACCGTAGGGAATATTCACCACCGAGTCCAAGCAGATACTATAGTGGTACCAACAGAAACCCGCAAGACTACAGGATTAATTCTTTCAACCAAGGAAGTAGGCTGTCATTTAATAATATTGAAAGGCAGAAAAATAATAACGGTGATACGGAAGCGAAACAAATAGTAGCTACTGCCCGTGATGCTAATGGAAGATTATTTTATTTCCCAGCGGTATTGAATGGGAAAAACACACTTTGCCTAAGGGATACAGGCTGTACAACATTGATTGTTGACAAAGCAATGGTAAAAGAATCAGATTACACCGGAGAAGTACAAGAGGTCAGGTTAGCTAATAGGATGTCTATCCATTGTGATATGGCGAAGATTGAAATAGACTGCCCATGGGTTACGGGTTCATTCACAGCAGTTGTGATGGAGAACCCTATTTGTCCTCTAATAATTGGCAACATCCCGGGTATTCCGGATGACTCAATGAAATTTTTAGAAGCATGGCAAGCCAAGAAAGGTAAGATGGTTGTAAACGCCATTATACAGGATGATAACGCAGAGAAGCTAAAACCTATTGTACAAACGCACTTAACAGCGCCTGAGATGGCAAGGCTACAAAAAGAGGATGAAGTCACAAAAAAACTGATGAATAACATCAATAAACGACAAGGAAAGTACAGAGGCCACTGCTATGAAATAAAAAATGATATACTGGTTAGAATATTTCAGAATAACAGCATTAAAAGGACACAAATAGTCATTCCAGAGAAGCTGAAAGGCCTAGTCTTGGAGACAGCACATGATAGTCCTTTGGCGGGGCACATGGGAGTCAGGAAAACTATTAATAGAATCCTTGACAACTCGTTTTGGCCGGGAATCCATCATGTAAAATTTTACATGCAAGTAAAAGTAAAAGATCTAATTCTCTGCCTTCTAATACTTCTATCAAATTTTGATTAATTTCCGTTCACTGGAAGTAGTAATTAACTTAATTTCCGATTTCTCAAAAAGCGCATGTGAATTTTTAAAGTACTAATAATATTCTGCACTATTATACACATTTCGTTTGGCGTTCACTTGGTGCGCAATTCTTTTTTCTTCGAGATTATTTTATATTCTATTTTAATAAGTTTAGGTACTTAATAAAAAACATTTCAAAAAAAACATTTTAATAACAAGGGTTTATGTAATAATGCACTAATAGTAGAAAGTAAATTATACACTACTATTTAAATAACTATAAAGAACAGCGTGGGTCACTTTAGTATCTATTGGAGACCTTTACTAATATTTAGGAAGAGACCCACGCTTTTGAATGTTTTATGTAGCATCAACTGCTGCATCAGTTGTAGACATCACGTCTTTATTAGATTACATTACATTACTCCATTAAATTTTGATTCTGTTACTCCTGCACTAGATAACTGTGGCATTTTTTAAAAATATTTTAAGTTATGTGATTTTCGAAAATAATGAACGCATTCTTCCTGTTAATATTACCAACACAATAGTTTTAGAGTTATTCTATGTCCAAAGCAAAAAAAAAAATTGATTTTCTTTGTATGAAAATTAAAGTGACCAAAACGCATTTTTGTCATTTTCAAT